CGAAAGTTTGAATTGTTCATTTATTGTACAAGCAATCAGAACAAGTTCTTATAAAAGTTAAATTGTAAAAAGTTTACTAAGGTCACCATCAAAGTTGAGCGACAACCCGAACTTCGTTCCGTTCCCTCCTGATCGTTATGGTCAACCAGTGAACAGCGTGTATCTGGGTGAGTGCTATTCCGCCACGTGATTGAACGCTATTTCAGGAAGAGGAGAAAATTCTGCGCAGTTGCAAAATGGTATAAAATGTGATTATGAATAATACATTATTGGGAGTATATTTACAAGATAAATGCAAGGAGAAGAAGCTATATAGTACTTGAAATGATAGTTTACATTCGCAATGTTTAATGCTAACCATATTGGTGTAAGCATGGAAACTATCACGTTTCCGATGAAAATATATCGTTGTCCAAAGATTAGTGTTGTTGTGCTTTTAATCAAAGCAACCAGACTTAAAGCACGCTACAAACATAAATAAAGAGCAAGTTTCAGCTTCAATAAAGGCCTAGGTAGTTAGGATCAGATAGAGCATAATAGTGCGTAAATAAAAAGATTATTTTGCGGTAGCTAAGTGATATTTAAGTGGGGAGTGAATTCAAAGATCTGGAAAATTAGAAGCCGTAGAACAATCTGACCTGTAAGATGCCTCACGAATTTCTGTAGGGCCCACATTACTACCCGAATATATAAAAGTACTCCTGGTAGCGACCACAGAGTAGTGCTCGGTACATTCAATATTTACACTAGCATGAGCTCAAGAATAAATACCAGCAAAGTATTACTTGGGGGTGGAATGACCTGAAATGATACCTTTTCACTCTAGACTGGGAGCTATAATTTACATACGGCTCGGCTGTATAGACAATGGATTTATTCCATGAGGACTTAGGATCTTCACATGACGCCATCGCCTTAGCGTGATTGGTGAAAACAAGACCCGAAAAGTCTGACTTCATCCTCGTAGGGATTCGAAACCGCCTGAGTAAGCATCCTAGACTATTCTACAGATTGAGTTTCCCTTCGTCACTCGTTACACTCAGGCAAACTCATGATTCATACAATTCTAATCAGTTTTCTGAGTCCATCAACGCATATCCTACGCACAACGTGATCATACAGAGACATTAGTAAAACTAATTAAATCTCGAATTATTAACAACAGAATAGGTGTCTCCAAATTATTACTAGATGGAGAAGAACCATACAGAGACCCTCAGGAGATATGCAAGTTATTCAGCTCTCACCTTGCTAGCCACTTTACTAGCGTGGATACGGTAAGTAGACTTGATGTTCTGATGCCACCAAACCACGTTTTCGGCAACAAAGCAATTACCCGTAAAAAGATTTCGTTCGCTATAGCACCTCTCCTGACATCACATAATGCCGGGATTCCATCTATCCTGTTGTAAAGGGGCAGTGAGGACCTACTCGTTATTCCCCTAAAGTTTCTAACCCGTCCTCAAGTAATGACAGTTACACAGAGCGCTGGAAATTGTCGTTTATGACAACTAGGAACAAGCTGGGACCATGTTCTAATACCGAAAACTACCGTCCGGTCAATACCACATCATTAGTTTCCGGGGTTATGGAAGAAGTCATAGGGCAAGATATTTCTTGATGCCTCTACAAAGTGTTTGCTCAAGCAAAACACGGCTTCTTGAAGGGCCGACCATGCTCCACCTGACTACTTGACCACTTCGATGATGATACTGGAAGGCGCGATCGTAGTTTGCTTGTCGCAACTCTCTTCTTCGACTTTAAAAAGCCTTTGATAAAGTCCCACGCAAGAGACTAATTCTTAAGCCGAAGTCGTACGGGTTCCAAGACTCCCTGTTATCTTGGCTCAATTCTTTCTTGGAAAATCATTCCTACGTTGTGAAATTCCCAAATAGTTACTCGTCACCCAGACCCACAGGAAATGGAGGGATTCAGGGTAGTGCGCTAGGGCCGTTGCTTTTCGTAATTTGTATTAACGACATCTGCAGTGTAATCAAGCATGGTACCCCATACCTCTTTGCTGGCTACATAGAGATTGCTTACAGCTTCTCCCATTCCACTCTGAACGAGGGATTCACACATATTCAAGACGATTTGAATGGGTCACACAACTAGAGCAATGCCTGTTAACTGTCATTCAACTCTGATATATGTGGCGTCCTGTGCTTCAATAACTCCCACCCTAATTCCAGGTTACACCTAGGTGGCTCTTTTCTCCAAAGCCTCAATTTCCTAAAAGGCCTAGGCGTTACCTACTTACTAGACTCAACATTCACGCAGCGCGCACAATCAATTGTTTCTAAATACGGAAGACCCACTGGCTTGTCACACCGAAAAATGTACACAACTGAGGCCTAAGTCCTCTTATACGAAGTCATGGTTCATGCAGTACTTGCATACTGCACAATCATCCTCGCTTTTGTGCATGGGTATGATAGTTTTCGCAGTGAAAATATTCAGCGAAACCTTGCATGACCCAGTGTTGCAACTGAAAGCCGCTTGGAACCAGTTTAAGAAACCTTACGCTCAGGTAGCCAAACGTTTCATCCCTCGGTCTGTCCCAAAGGGTCGGAAACATTGCTCCTTTGAATAGACCGGGAAATCCGTAAATTACCCGGACGTAAACACAAATGCTGGAACCTGTTTGCCACATTTGAGACTCCTGAGGCCAGAAAGCTATACAACACTGCTAGGAACAAAGCTATTGCAGAAATCTGCCAATCAGTTATGGAGTTCGAAGCACAAACTAAAAAAATTTACTGGTACATGAACTTCAGGAATAAAACATCCAGTGATGTCTCTAACCCGACTTTTGACAATCACACAGTCGGAGAAGATCAAGAAAAAGCAGAAGCAATGGCGGACTACTTCTCCCAAGTCTTTACACAGGAGTTGTCACTCCCCGTAGGATCAGCTTCGGCTGCACTAGGGGAACGCAGGATAAACTACGCTGACGTCGACAAAGACATCGTGCTCAACTGCCTAACGAAAATAGACTCAGGGTATCAATGGCTCCTGATGGTGTTCATACAAAGCTTCTCAAGTTGCTATCAGCTCACATAGCCGGCCCACTGGCCACGGTCTTCAAGCAATAGTAACCCCCATACACAAGGAGGATCAATACAGAGCCCTTCAAACTACAGGTCTATTGGTTTCACCAGCAATTTAATCAAGACACCGGAAAGAATCACCAAGAAAAGTATCATGGCATATCTGGAAAACAACAATTTGTTATCTGCAGTACACAGTGACTTCCAAGGAAATCTCTCATGCCTGTCAAATCTTCTCACCGCAAGAGAAGGCCGGGTCAAATCAAGGGACAACAGAAGACACGCCGAAGTCGTCTTCATAGACTTCAGTGAAGCCTTTGACAAAGTGCCTCACAAAACACTACGCAGGAAAGTCATGGTATCAATTGCAGCTAACTAGTCTGGATTAGGGAATTCCTCATGGATAGGGGGCCAGAGGGTCAGAAACAACTCAAAACTCTCCTCTTGGACACCAGTGCGTGGCGGAGTACCCCAAGGCGCGGCACACAAACCTCTCCCATTTATTTATCTCTGCTCATCGATTCCCCCATGGTCCTATATGTAGATGACCTAAAAATCGAGAGAGAGCTGAAGGGCGGCAGTGATACGCTCACGTTGCAGGAAGACCTCAACAAATTCTCAGAGTGATCCAGAGAATGAATGCTCCTTATCAATGTAGCAAAATGCGCTAGCATACGCATTGGACAGGCAAGCATCAGCTCCTACGAACTAGAGGGAATAACACCCTCATCATTTCTAACTCATTTGGATTTAGGTGTCATAGTTAGTCACGACTTAAAAACTACAGCACACTATTGCACGGTGGCTGCATGTAGTTTCAGATCCTTACGGGCGATTCACAGGGCCTTTACTAGAACCACTAAAGATATGTTCAGCTCCTTGTATACATCTCTGGTGACGTCAGGACGGGAAAATTGTATTCAAGCAGCCAGTCTTTGTCTTAAAGACTCACATATTCTAGAGAGAGTTCAAAGGAAGGCAACACGTATGATTCTCCACATGGCTAAATTATCGTACGAGGAAAGACTATACAGTTTAAATCTTTTCTCACTATCATTCTGTAGGCAGACAGGAAACTTAATCACAATGTTTAAAATTTTAAATAGTGTCTACGGACCTGACCAACTCTCTCTTTTCCTTCCCACCAGGTCGGAACATCTTAGAGGACATAGCAGTAGTATTAAAAAGTTAAGAAGAAACTGTATTACTGAATCACCAACCTCTGGAACTGATTCTCAGGAGAAGTGGTGTCAGGGCCGTCAATTTAATCATTCATAAGGGTTAGGACAAGCACAGAAATTTACTAGAAAAGCCTTCTATCCTCATTCGACAAATATTTATCTGTACCAGAGACAAGTTACGATTCACAGAGTACGGTGTGTATGAATGAGTCACGATTGTACTGTGCATGGATAAAGTGATTATTTGGTGAAAGAAGAATAAACATTAGAACTTCTGCGTTCTCTAGTCCATGAGTCCACTGACGGTCAAAATCTTTTCGGTACTACTTTATTATAAAATGGACCGTAACTGACAAGCACCACTCTTGTGACAGTGATGTATACTGGTCCTCATTTGTATGACAGGAACTTAAGGTACAGCCATCAGGATTAAAATCCATTATTTTAGTATTGTGGAGGATTTTCTACCCATGTTATATGAGTTCGAACGAATTACTTTACTTTATCCTTATATAGCCGCTGAGCACTTCTAATAAACGTTATAACCCAATTGTTTCGTCCTATGCACGTTGAAGTTTCAGTATTCACCTCTCTTTCTCCTTGCATATGAAGTTTATTAGTGTGTTTCATAGTTGTCGTTTCTGTGTTAAAGTGCTTAAAATGAATAGTCAAGGGCGAGTTCATGCTCAAGCCGCTGGTTTCAAGAGCCTGGCGCGTTAATTTTCGTTATTTTGTTTTGAAGGTTGGAGAGTGTCGTCATATGTTTGTTATGACTAGTCCTGAAGATTTAAGCAGCTCAGTATGTGAAAGTCTTCTAGTGAGTATATTTTTCCCAGGAAATACAAGCATTTATCACAAAAGTCAAGAGTTTACCCGGTGGAACAAACATTCAACAAGATGAAGCTGAGAAAGCCGCTCATCTCTACCTCAGAGCTCGTAAAAGAGATGTTGAACGTGCTGTGGAATTATACAAAGCTAACAAGGTATAGTTTAACGTGAAATTTAAATGACGGAGAAGATTGTAAGTGAAAAACGTATGAATTAATTAATTGCATGAAAGCTAGAGAATGTATAAAGTCAGGTTATCCTTCAACCTTGTTTTGCGAAGTAAAGACTGCGCCTTAATCCCATAGGTGCAATACTCAAAACTGATACTTCACTCTCAAAAGAAATAACATATATGTTTTCGTAATAATTCAATTATTGTCTGAAATGTGACACAGAATTTGAAAAGTTGTACAGTAGTTTTCTCCATGCGTAAGATATGTGGGGATTATGAATTTTTATTGCCCTGAGAATTTATTATTTTCGGCGTCACCTGAAGTTCTGAAATTTAATTGTCTTGAGTAACAACTTGGTAATCCTGTATGTTATTTAAAAACCTTCCAGTTGAATAACATGTTTGTTTGCATAATTCGTTAATATAAACCGCCTAAACATTTCTTGTTAGCCTCAGTAATGACTCACCTTTTTCTTTTCATTTGAACATTGGTGTGGCTGGCCTGCAAATATAAATTTGAGGATTTTCCATTAATCTATGTACAAATTATTTCATTTCGCTGATTATTAGTCCTCGATGCTAACTTTTCGAACACTAATAAAGTAAATGTAGATGGTTTTGATACCTCTGATTTCGTCTTCTATCCACTCACAGAAAACATCATATAAAGTGACAGATTCCACCTCTAAATTTCTTCTTTTTACTTATGTCTTCATGTTTCGCATTGAAACTTGTGGCAAAGTTGTTTCAAAAGATAATTCAAACACATACTTCCGGGTATCGGCAACTTTCACATGTCTGGAATCGTGTTTTAAACGCAACCATGCACTATTGCATACTTTATGTTAGTAGTAGTAGTAGTAGAGAATAGAGGTTTTAATTCTGTATCGATTAACAAAGCTTCTTTTTTATTAAATAACTTACATCAAGCTGTCAGACATTATCCTTGGTAGTCTGACTTCCTTTTACTTGTGAGTGACGTATAATGCTTTTTAAAAAAACACATCTCAGGTATAATATTATTGCTACTTATATCATTTGTCTTTCTATAGCGAATGCGGTATACAGAAAATGTAGACTCAATTGATCCTTTAGAAGATGGCGTTCGGAGGGAACTATTATCTGGGAAGTTTACTGTGCTAGTAAGTCCAAAAAAGTCTAATTAATTCAGCTAGTTCTTCACGTTATCCTTTGTGGGAGTAATTGACAACCTATTAATATAACCATGGGTGACCCTGGTTATATAATCATGTTCTAAGGAAGCGGTTATCATTTTCTTATGACAAACTCTGGTTATTTCCTCACACTATGAACTAAGTTATTATTAGCCTGTGTTTTAAAACTTGTACAGGTCAATACACTACTGCTTTTACACAGATTTTACTGTCCTTGAGCACTTTCAGTCTGTATTACAACTTACAGTTCAGTAAGGTGTGTTTGAGAAATAACTAAAATCTTAAATTTCTTCTGCACATTCTGCTTTAACTAATCACAGGTTATAAATGGCAGTAAGATTCACCTTTGTAGGCTGAACTGTGTGATGAATCAAATACTTTTACAAATTACAATCTCTCTTTAGTTTGCCCACTTGTTCATTATGCATAAAAGAATGTAAATTTATATTATTAAAGAAAGAAAAAGAATTTGTTTTCAGTCGAATTTATGTTTTAATTATTGGCATAGCTAACTGCAGTGGTGGTGCATATACATAGGTCCTGAAAGTTTTATTATTCACCTTTTAAAACACTAAAGATTACCACAAGAAAATTTAAAACAACACATGTGTAAGCGAACAGTATTGTTTTTTGAATTCGATCTGATGAGGTTGCACTCTGATGTTTGATGACGATGATGATGTATTCCTCCGAAAACGCATGTCTCTTCTGATATTGGAGCCCCTACCCCCCCCCCGCGGTCATCCAGTGTTGCAGTGAGAAACATTACCACTGAATTATTTATTGGCCTCACTATTGACAGCCTGTAGGACTGGAATGAACGCTTGTCTTATGAGTCTAGTTCTTTGTTTGCTGCAGCCTGAAATTCTATCCATCAGGCAGTTTAGAATGCGCTGCGATGTTGAATCACCCCTAGCTTGGTGACCCGATTATTCACCCTTGACTGGTAAGGATTCAGTTTATCCCAAATAAAGCACTAGACACATACCATGACACACTAGTTACTCACTACATAGGTTGAAAATCCGGTTCATCATTTCAGTTCAGTGGAGGAGTTAGTTCTACTAATGTTCTGTGTTTATCTTATAGAGGTATACTTTCCACTCACAAACTTTGTCTATGCCTCCTTTCATTATCATTTAGTTAGTATGGAAAAGAAGCCCATTTTGCGCTACTTTTTCTCACTTTTTGGTATTGATTTCTTATTATGAGCTAATCAATTTTTGTTTGTTAACTTTATGCAGTATATGTATTCTGCTTCAATAAGCAGAATCATTTAAGCTGATAAAAGTTATAATCCATAATCTGTAATCAATTTTTTGACATTCATACTTGGCAGATACCACATTGTATAAAGCATTTTTAATAACACACACACACATATTGTCTTTTATTATGGTCAAGTGTTGGTTTGCAGGGATTTGATTGACTGTTACAGGATTGATCATGAGCTGACTGGCATCGCTTAGAGAACCATAGAAAAATTTGGAGAGTACTAGACAGTCACTTCGTCCCAGTTCCGTCGGACTCTTCATCATCGGTAAGCACCTGCCGCTAGTGTTTGAACCCACAACAACCTGCTGGTTGCACGGCAGCTAACAAGCTAGCTAGACCATTAAGCCAACCACTGAAACCTAACCTAATGGTCAATGAATTTCAACTTCTACCATTTCGTCAAGGAGCTAGCTTTGTGCTTTGATGGCACAGTGGTTAGGACTCTCGCCGATCATGCACATGGTTCGGGGTTCGATCCCCTGCCGACGCACACCTGATATCAATGGTCGGTCTGCAAAATTTGGGCTACTGATATCATACGCTGAAAATCCCATACTTGTACCAAAAATACTGTGTGGTTTCAAGCTATAATAAAAAACCCTGACCTTTGACACTAGCCAGACTCTCATGGGGAATATTTGATTTTATGTCATTACATACAGAGTTCTTCTATTTTTTTCCATTTGTATTAAAATTTTGTACCTGATATACGAAACATTTATTAGCATTCCCAACAAGTGGAAGAAGCCGCTCTTTTATTTTTTTTTTTAACCCCACGAATTTTCCACTCATTTTCAGCCCACTCTTCCTGATGACGAAATGGATGCAACTATTGCAATATTTACTGCTTACCGTCATTGGCCCCCGTTAACTACACACAGAGATACTTTGAAGGGTGTTCTCTACCAGTTAGACGCTGCAATGATGGAGTAAGTCTTTTTATTATCACCATTCCTATTAGTATTATTATTGTTTAATATCGAGTAAGATCTAACTCTGTAGTAGAGAGTTGTTTAGCTCACTTTCAGTTAATCTCAACTTCCGTCATCATCTTAGGCGTGGAGTATGACATGTGTACTAAACCGCAGTTCGTTCTACGCCCTATTTACGGCGTCTGTAAAACGTGACAGCTGAACACGCAGGACTTGTAGAGACTAGCCGTTTTTGTCCATAGGTGTTTTCATTCTGTCTTCATATGGTATAATATAAAGAGTAATTATGGGGTTAAGCGTGTTGAGTGTTAGGTGAAAAGGGGAAAATCAATTGTGATGAGACTTTGAAGTCACCTTTTTTAACTGTTGGTTTGTTGAACTATTTTTTGGAAGATGTAAACTGCCTGGCTAGGATCCTTGAGACGTTAATGATCAATAACTTGAGATTGTCGGTAACATTACTCAAAATTGTTTACAATGTCGCAGATGTATTCACTTTTTGTGATCCCTCGGGTCTATTAAATTCGGATTATTCACTCGAGTGAGATTTCTCCTTTTTCGCGAACATTGTTGCTTTTTTTCCACTACCTCTGTGTGTGTGTGTTGCAGTTTTTGATGCAGTTGTGTTCTCTGAGCTAGCTGGATGGTTTACTTGCGAAGCTTTCATTACCTTACTAGGCAACATCTTCAGCGCATACTTCAATTTAAAAGCTCACTTCATCGAATTGAATTATGCGTTGACCAACTAACTCTATTGGCTTGAAGTCCAGCACCTTGACCTAACCTAGATAGATGATGAAGTAAACTGTACATGACTTTTTTTCTCTAAATATTCACAAAATATCTGTGTATGTATGTGTGTACGCGTATGCGCGTGTGCGAGTGTGTGTGTGTATTTTAACAGTATGGCCTAACTGAAAATAGTTCATTCAATGGACTACTGAACCAGTAGAAATCTGTTAATGCTCAGATTTCTTTCTATTCGAATCAGCTGTGAAATGTGTGATACACTGCAAAAAGTCATTCATGTCACGCTTTGCATATTAGAAAGTTAGTTTGATGAAACAGATAAAGTATCATAATTATATCAGATGATTATTGCAATCTTGTGATTTTATCCTGTAGTGTAGAAAAATAAATGAGCACATTAAAAGCAAGGAGATATAAGTGAGTAAGGTATTCTTCTTCTTCTTCTTCTTGCATAACTTCTCATCAACTCTATCTTTCTTTTTATTCCTTTACTTTCCCAGTGGAACATAACATAGAGGGGCCTTCAAGCTAGAGACTTGAAGTTTCACTAGCACAGTGGTGTTTATTTTTACCTGATTGCGGTGCTAACCAGCCTCATGCCCAACCTTCCCTCTCTTTAACAGTCTTATTACTAGCTTAGCGAGGTAAAGGAGTGCGTCGGTGGCTCGGAGGGGGGGTATCGAACCCTAGAACACGTGAGGCGTGATCGGTGAGCATTCTACCGGCGCACACAAACGCTTTTTTCGCTTGTTGGTTTGCAGGGATTTAACTGGTTACAGGATTGAATTGAATTAGCGGAAGTTGGAATTCATGGGCGCTGGCCATTGGATTGAGTCCCAGTGGCTTTCTTAATGGTCTACAAGCTCACTAGCAGCCACCTTGTAACCAGCATGTCATGGGTTCGAACCCTGACAGCGGAGTGGGTGCGTACTGATAAAGACTACCAAACTGGGGTGAAGCGACTGTCTACTAGTCCCCGGTTTTTCAACGGTTCTCTAACTAATGTCAGTCTGCTCATGATGAAATCCAGCAGTTTTTTGTTCTCATCACTGGTTTGTATTCCGAGTGGAACATATATATGTATATAGGGCTTCAAACCTTCCCTATTTACCCCCCTCCCCCAGTCAAGCGAGGATTTAGAGTGTGACAGGCTGGAGTCAAAGCCTAAATCACGCGCGAAGTTGGCTTCACCTCTACCACTGAACACCCAATGCACTGCAAATGGAAAATACCAAGAAAGGTCAATCACGATAAAGAGAATCATACTGATTTCAGTGTAGATTTTGTTACGAATCGATATATGTCAGTTACAGAATGAGTGGAAACTAAAGATCATAGGACAGCTGTATTTGACCAGCACGCACCCAAGACTGCATGAGGGATTAAAGCCAAAGCTTACCGCTGATAAGGAAGGCCTGTTGACTAACCCTTGAACTCTTATTTGTTAAAGGTTTGGTCATGGGTGGATATAAGATAGAGAACCATCAGAAAACCAGCAGGGAGTGCTGAGTGAGTAGCTGTTTCATCTTAGTTTGGGAGTCTTCAGCAGTAGGCACCCACCACCAGGGTTCGAACCCAGGGCCCCCATGGTTACGAGGAAGGAGCTTGTAGACCGCTTAGTACTGATGCTAACACATGATCAAACCTGCAATCAATAAAAATCCCTGCAGATCAACACCTTACAACCATCATTTATGTGGATTCACCACACACACATCAGAAAGGAGATTGGTAAATTTGTAAAACTTCTTTCAATAATCTAAAGTGTTAAGTGATGAGTAGTGAGTAGCGAAAACTAATTAAATCATATTTTAATTATGAAAAGAAAAGGATATCAAGTGATTCCATAGTATTATAGATTAGTTTATTCCACATATCACACGGTGATGATTCAGAATTAATTACTTGGATAACGTTTCGAGTACAATTTATTGCCGCTCATAATCATATCAGTATTACTCCGTGTTAAACCAAGAAGTTATTCCAATCACCAGAATCTATGTGATCTGCGTGATACCATAAATAGTAATCTAGAAAGTAAACAAATTTCCATGAAACTATATACTACTGATAGATTGAGATGAGTAGTAGTAGTAGTGTAACAACAGAAGACAAGGGCCAGGCAACAGATCGTTTATTAAGGAAAATCAACACATATTTATAGATTTTAATGTACATTATTGTTGGTTATTGTTAGTAGAAAATACAGTCTTTTGATTGGTTGTTTCTCACAGAAAGTTAACCTTGCATCTCTTTGTGGCTGTGTCAGATCATCCATATGCTAATTGTATCCGCCTACGCAAAGCCTTTATCCTCATTTTCTCACCACCAATATTGTGGACATAAACATTGACGTCAATTACTGCCTACCAACTTTGGCTAGCAGCCAGCTCTCACCACAGTAGTAGTAGTACAAACAAACAAACATTTTGAACCTTTGTCGTTTTCCACCTGATAGCACTACCTGTTTACTCCCATACCTGATGGGTGCGTATAAGAGGGGTCGGAGTTCGAACCCGTGACTCATTCATTGATAGAAAGTCGAATGTCTTTTCTATACTTATGAGTCTTTGTGGTTCCATTATGAGAACAAAATTATGCAATATGAAAATCTTTTCAATATTAATACGTGCATATGATCGAGAAGATTTGTAGCTCAAGTGGATGATTTTGATGTGGTTGAGTTCTCTGGGCTAGCTGGATAGTTAATTTGCAAAGCTTTCATCGTCCTACTAGGTGACATATTCAGCGCATACTTCAATTCGATGAAGTGAGCTTTTAGATTTCTCCATGAGTTTATTAATCATCTCTCCTGGTGGTGACCTTAGACGTGATTGGTTGTTTTTGTGTGTTTTCACACCTTCTAGATTGCTTGTATTGGAACTGATTGTTTCTTTGACTTGAACTTTGATCCTTTGTGTGTGTGAGGTTTCTTTCTTATCGGTTGGTAAATTTTGTCAATCTCGATGTGTCTATTGATTGATTGATGATTCACTGGAATACCAGTCAGGCTTCTAAAAATTCTCTAGCATTCTTGTTGTTTCCTCTGTCTAGTATTTGAACGCTGGTTGTCCCAGTCGAATTGATGTCCGTGGTTGTCTGTATGTAGTGAGGTGATATGTGTGGAGAGTGGATATCATGCCTTTTGACGGCTAGCTGATGTTCGTGGATACGAAGACGAAGGTGAGGAGTGTCCACTTTGGCCAATGTAGTATTTTTCGCAGTTGTTACAATTTATTTTATAGATGATGTTGGTTTTATCTTCTTTCGCTGTTGAGTCTTTTGGTTGACATAGAACAAGAAAACAAAGAAACAATCAGTTGCAATGCAAGTAGCCTAGAAGGTGTGAAAACACACAAAAACAACCGATCACGTCCAAGGTCACCACCAGGAGAGATGATTAATAAACTCGTGGAGAAGTCTAAAGGCTCACTTCATCGAATTGAAGTATGCGCTGAATATGTCACCTAGTAGGTGGCGATGAAAGCTTTGCAAATTAACTATCCAGCTATCTCAGAGAACTCAACCACATCAGAATAATACGTGCAACTTTTCTCTCTTACTTTTGCATAGTTTCCTGTCTTTTGTGTGTTTATCGCAACGGAAAAGAAGAAAAAAGAGAGTTTGTCACAAAACACAATCCAGGAAATCCTGTTTAAATTGGATTTTATGTTTGATCATAGACACACACACACACACACCGAGGCGTACACGCATAACTAGAGTGATTCTTCATTCTAACAGTAAATTATCATGATATTCAGTTTCATAATCAGTGGATTTTTTTAACTGACTGCCTTTCCATATCTGATTGACATACACGCTGATCAGATCATGTACACTGGATATTTATTCATTGTGAATAAACGAAATCATTGATGATATGACTTCTAGCCAGTTGTGGCTTTTCGATTCGAATTCCGCTCCACCTTCTCTTATTTCCGTCAATTCTTGATATACAACTCCACCATGCATGGCAATCATCGTCCGCCAAGTCGGGTATGGGGACAGATACTCGCGGTGGACAGAGGTGGTTGGCGTCGCTGCTTTATATATCAAAACTATCAGAAATTGAAACTCCTCAGCCAATGCGTAATGTCCCAGTGGCTAAATAGTCAACGGACTTTTCTCGTAAGTGTGGTTCCATCCACGGTGGAGTCATGGGTCTGAACTTCCGGAAAGTTTGAAAACCAGGGTTAAACAGCTTCCAATACTTACTGGTTTTTCCCCTCATAAACGGCCGAGAATGTGTAGTCTTTTGTCTTCCTCTGAAAATACTCTTATGTAACCACTCGTTCATGACTTCTGACAGGTGTAAGTTTTATTCTCTGCCTTCACGCAGTGGGGTTGCTCCTCAGAAAAGTAAGAGGTTAATGGCAAACATCTAGCTTTTTCAACCTGACTGGTGGACACTTGCACGCCTATCAAAGGAAGCTGGAATGCGCTAATCCCAAAACTATAGTGTACGTGGGCTCCAGAATCTCTGACTAACTGACTGAATTCAACATAGAACTTGGCACCGAAGTGCAGCAGTTCGAGTTGCCACGTTCCAAATAGCACACAAATGTAGACAAGAAAATGAGTGATGAGAATCAATAGAGTTTTGACAAGTATAAGAGTGAAACAGAATGAGTAATGGCAGAAAGGAATATATGAAAGATTACAGGGACTGAATACATCTGCGTAAGCCATTGACAACGATTTTGAGCCATGTCGCCTAGTGTCTCTAGCCATTGATTCTTAGAGTCCCGAGGGCTGGCCCCAACCCGGAAGTCTGCATCTACCTACCTGACTCAGTTTAACTGTCAGGGATTTCATGGATTGATGAGGCTATGTTTTTGTTTGGCCACCACTTACTCTTTTCCAGTCTGCACCTATATCAGCTAGTAATGCCCGTCGGGGGAGGCGATGGTTAGGCATGCACAGGACGTGACCTAGCCATCTTAATCTATGTAACTTTATAGCCTCTTCGATTGATTTTTCCTCTTTAGAAGAGGACCGAAAGCTGCTACCTTGACATGGTGGTCGGGCTTGCATATCACAATGACCCCACGAGCTACACTGGCTGGAACTTATGTTCCTGTAGGTCCTACCATGCCAGAAAGGTTGTCTGGATAGCGGTTAGACAAAAAGCAGCTACCCAACCCAACACTATGATTCAAACAAATCCACAAAATATCATGCCGGATCGGTCGGGGCCCGGACTGACAACGACCGCGCTTCCTTCTGCCGTGTCACAGGGCAGAAGTGATAAATATACTACTGAGACACACCAAATGAAAAACAAAAACAGGCCGTGTGTGACCGGCCTCAAGCAGTTGTCCCCTGGGCTCTGAGGTCACGCAACCAACTTCCACGGTGTGGGCAGCCGGGAAGTAACAATCGCCCTCACAATCCGAAGTGCACGCGAAACCTCTCTAATCCTCACTCATCTTTTGTCTCCATCTTCATCTCTATTAACTTGCCTTCCTTCTACTAATGCAACTCCTCTGCTTAATGGCTCTTCACTTCCTCTTCACTCTATGTGCACTGAAAACGACGGAAGCCAAAACACCACCATCGATAGAATCTCTGAACAAATTGAATGCCGTATGAACCATGTTTCGGTCACGTGAACCTATTGAAATGTAGCTCCTGAAGCTACTCCACTACCTTGGGGATCAGACTTCAAACCAAAGGTCGGGGTTCGACCACTGAAGACCCCCACTTATTTCAGTCTGGGCAAACTATAGAATTCTGTGTGGTGAATCTTTTGGTCCCCATAATAATAATAATAATAATATCACTCTCCAAGCCTCTGACATGAAGTCTAAACCACAGTGACAGTAGAGCACTAGAGTAGCTGTGCCCCCCCCCCCCAATTGTCGCCAGTGTCTAAGACAGATTCAAACACACACACCATTCTTTTCGGGTCCTGGAACCCGTGTGGTGCATCATCATCATCATAACTTCGAAATCACGGTTTTCTAACTCCCATAAGATGAACTTTTCATCATATCCAGTGATAAGCTCTGAATATTCGCAATCTACCTTTCGGTGTTTTTTTTTTTAAAAACACCAAAGTCACGTAAAGGGGTAAAGGCAATGAACACTTGGCCGCATGGAAGGCATTTTGAGGCGAGTACTAATCAAAAATCCAGTCACTATAGACTATACTATGTTATTTTGATTGGACTCTAGTAACTAGTGTGACGTGTCTAGTCCTTTCTTTGGTGCTGACTGAATTCTATCAGTCAGGTTTTGCAATGTGGCCACCATTCTAGGTAGCTCGCCATCACGGTGCACATTGATTTCATGATATTAGATAGTTGGAGGCAATCTATACTATGTTATTTGTGGAAAGGTAACTTTCATAAAACAAGGTATGTATAACTTAATTACGATGATATATATCTATTTTCTATCGATTAATCGTTGTTATTGTGTCACTTTCTTTTAATTTAATTTGTATGTTTGCTTGTTTGTTCGTTCGTTTTTTTCAGTGAACAATCACAAAGAAAAGGACTTATTGTACTTTATGATATGCGTGATACAAAATATTCAAATTTTGATTATCATCTCTGTATTAAATTATTAAATTTATTCAAGGTGAGTGAGTTCAGTTCATTTTTGATTTCATTTTTTCCTTTATATGACTCCCTACTGCCCCCACCCCCCCAGCCGCCACTACCCCGCTGCGCTGCGCGCTAGCTCCTTACTTACTTACTTTCTTTCTTTTATTCTCCTGTACTTTACTCACTCCTTAATTGCAAAGAAAAGAGATACACGGAGTGAAACTAAAACTTATATATGTCTAAACCAAGTTCACTTTTAACAGTTTGAAAAAAATTTGGGCATTGTTTATATGATATTCATTATAATAATAAAGGTTTTTGTATTTCCCAATGAATGAAAAACAAAACGTTATTGTTTTTCATTCATTGGGAAATACAAAAACCTTGATTAAAATGAAAACTAAAACTTGCTCATTTGAGCATATTTGCACATTAACCACCACTCTCAACTACTTCTACGGTTCAAGTAATTCCGGGTTTTGTGTGCGGCCGTGCGTGTGTGAAGCTTTCATCGAAAACTTCACCTATCATCATACATGGCTTGAACACATGTTGGGCATGCCGAGCCATGGCCTTCTTCCTTCACGAACAGTGTCAGCCGACTGCTTGGTTGTGGTGTCCTTGAAATGCTTAGAACAAATGGCTGTAGAGACTATCAATAAATAATATGGCTCAAAGACGTTCTCAGTGACGCAGACATTGACAGTGGTGGCTAATGTTACTATGCTCAGATGATTAAGTTTTTTAGTTTCACTTTGTTTACGTCGGTGGCACAGTGGTTAGGACTCTCGCCGACCATGCACATGGTCCGGGGTTCGATCCCCTGCCGACGCACACCCGATATCTATGGTCGGCCTGCAAAATTTGGGCTACCGATATCCATGCTGAAAATTCCATACTTGTACTGAAAATACGGTGTGGCATCAAGCTGTAAATCAAAAATAAAAAAATAAAAAATAAAATAAATCTCTTTTCCTCAATTAAGAAATAAGGTACCGGTGGAAAAAATAGAGTAACATAACTCGACGTTGAAGGCTATAATATTCAACATGCGAAACACAGCGATATCCTAGCTGTGTTAATCAATACAACTTCACAACCTCATCGATTGAATTCTCTTCCTAACCTAACACTCTACGCCTCTAACCACGCCAGTATAGCTCACTATAATATTCTATCACTTAGCACGGGAAATAGATATCAAACTTATGTAGTCAATAGCAGCTAATCTCCTACATTTAATGGTCATAACTCACAGTCATGAAGCAGTACATAGAGAACTGATGCTCAGTATTCATGTTCTTTGAATGGTGGTTGGGTATCACATCCACACAAGAGATACCACACAAGCCTTTTGTATCCGTGTTGAGATTTCATCAGAAGCAGTCAACACGCTCACTGATTTCATTCTCTTACCGTAAACTGGGAGTTAGTGCAGACCAGTGCTGTAGCATCATCTTACATTTGACTAGAGTGTATCATCGCATGCCAAACATATTAAGATTTCTGCTGAATGTGTTCAGAAGGCTCCACATTTCGTCAGGCCCTTCATCTAGAAGGACAATGTCATTCGCATACCCCTTATGGATGAAACTATTCTCTGGTAACGAGTCAATTCCTATGTGGCGCTAAAGTATCACTTACTCCCTGATGTTCATCGGTTTTATGGTTTACTTTAAATGACTGCCTTTTTTTGAGCATTCAAACTCGAAGCCCACTAATTCCATATTAGCTTGTTTATTAGATGTATCACACAGTGAAACACCAGTGTGTGTTTAACAGGAAACCCACACATTCAAACCGATATTTGGACTTCCGATCATCCCATCCTATATCAGTGAAAATAGGATTGGTGAAATGTTTAAATAATAGAGCACAAAAACTAAGTAGTACCAAGGAAAATCTAAGACAGGAAGTGAGGCATATAAGAGAAGCTTTGAAACTTAATAATTACCCTGATAAATTAGTCAGGAAATATGTAGGCAAATGTAAAAATGAAATAAATAATGATAGTAGTGATAGTGATAATAATAATATTAACGACGACATGCATGTCAAATATGCACAAGACAACACCGACAATAAGGAATCTAAATCATCAGTAGTAATTCCATACAAGGAAGGAAACTCGGAAACCTTACGCAGAATTCTTAACAAGGCAGGAATAAAGGTGGCTGGCATTCAAACGCACAAACTCAATTAGAAACAAGCTTTGTCGGTAAAAGGATCAGTCCTGTGGGGCCTTTAAAACAAAACAATTTAGTTTATCTAATACAATGCCAACAACGGTTGTCAGGTCAAATACAAAGGTCATAGTAGTAGGACGGGGTCAGTCAGACTAGCCGAGAATAAAAACCTAGCTAAGTCTGGATTAGTTGACCCAAATAACATAGGAAATCTAGAGAATAGTTCAGCTATAGCACTCACTACATGCAATTACACACAACCATACAGCATAGGATGGGATGGAATGGGATAGGATGACAGTTTCAAAATCTACTGTCACAGGGTGGAGGGAGAGATTGATAACAAAAGCTTTGTTTATCGAATCAACTGAGAGAGAATACGTGTAATAGGAGTGATTCAACACCTGTCCATCCAGATATCTGGAAAATTCTACTACCACACCTTCGACGACAAATAGGAGAGAACAAAGAAAACTATAAAACTCAAGTTTCCAAGAAGTGTGATTATAATTGATGAGATGATTATGAAGAATGAATTTTGTTCGAAACTGTGTCATCCAGTAAATAATACTGTTTCACTGTGTGATATGTTCATCTAATAAACAAACTAATATGGAAGCTCATCAGTTAAATAGCATTTTAAACTCCTCGATAGGAGAAAGCAAGATAAACGAGGATATGGTTCGAACTAGAGTTTATAAATCGTATCTTTCTTTGATAATATATTACTGAATGAGACTATCTGTTTGTGAAAAAAAGGCACTCCTATTTTTACTTTAGTGAAACAAGTTTAGAGTTGTTTTCTCAGAAAGTTTTATTTCTTATCAGCTGTTCACCTGAAATATTGATTACCGTATTAAACCTTTTTTCTGATAGGATAAGATTCTACTTATATTCAGGACAAATTTGATCATTATCATCGTCTTCATCATAATCTAGAAAACAGAAGGACTGAGCGAAGTAGTATTTACTTTTCAATTAGATCCTCATCTCATTCTGGCTCTACTCTTATATACACGTATAGCATTTTTATTACAATACACAACAATATACCAATCAAGTGGCACTGATTTCTTTGTTAACAGTAATTAGTCAGTGTCAAAATGTCAATAGGTTGATAATAAGCGAAGAAAATCAGTACACGTTTAGAAGGTAGAAATGGTTAGAATAAATTAATTTTACAAGGATAACACGTAATTAAAGATGAAGTGGTCAGAAGAAATAAAATAATTTGGACAATTATAATTTTTAAAGGTTTAGGGGGAAGGGGGCGAACTAGTCCGGTTTATACATTTATGTAATGATGGCCAAGGTAAGGAAAGTGGCTGTACAAATTTCTTCTGAACACACAGGTCTGCCTGGTTTCTTCAGGTGGATTCCTATTGCTTCAGCTGTTGTATGTAGAAGACGAACTCGTAGAGCGAAATTAAGGTTAGTAGGAATGCGATAAATAATTTTAAATGCAGTATTAACGTCAACCTTATGCCCACTATCTACAAGGTGTGCTACAATAGAGTTTGTCGCTTGCTTAACCATGCTGGATGATGTTCGGAAATACGAAGGTAAACCTGTCTAATTGTACGCCCAATGTAGCTGGCTCCGCATCTGCAGTCAAACTGGTAGATACACATAGAGCAGGCAAATTTAGGTAGTTTATCCTTATTTCTCGAATGTAGAATGGGGTTGGTTGCAAAGAGACAACGTACTTCTGCTGCATAATAAGCTCTTTTGACTGCATTCTTCAGGCACTGTGTTATTATTCCGCTGATGTTGTCCCCATTGACATGTTGACACTGACTGACTAATTATTGTTAACAAAGATATCAGTGCCACTTGATTGGTAAATTGTTGTGTATTGTGATAAAAGTGCTATACGTGTATATTAGAGTAGAGCCAGGGATGAGGATCTAATTGAAAAGTAAATATTTCTTCGCTCAATCTTTCTGTTTTCTAAATGTCTAAATGGGGATTTTTTTTATATTCGTCATCATCATCCGTAAATTTTGGCGCCAGTGTACAATAGTCATAATCATAAGATTAGCCCTGAGGTTAACAAACTGAAATCTACTAATAATGATATAATTAGAATTAAGCCTACACCTGATTACTTGTTTGACGCCTGAGCACAACTGTAGACAACATTGACATTTTGTGATGCGTTGATTTCAATTTTTTGATGTTAGGGTCATTCATCTGATTATCGCCTTTATCCACCTGACTTTCTATTCCTCATAAGGTTGGAGGGTAGGTATTCTTTAGAAAACTTAAACTTAACTTAAGGTTACATCTTATTGGTTTGTTTCAAATTAATTGCTCAGAACAAATATTTCAAATAGCCATGCTGTGACACACAGTTATTGTGTGTGTGTGTGTGTGTGTGAGGGATGACTATATTACCCAGTTATCTAGTTTTCAGTAGGAGGTGGAGTGAGACTGGAACTTGAAACCTATTGGATGAAAGTCTAACGTTTAAGCCACTTCTTTGGTGGTACGTGTTTATCATAGGAGTGTCTTTGTCGTCTTGAGGAAACTAAGATCTCCTAATGTGGAAGTTATTTCTTTTCTGGTGTGTCAGGACCTGCGGGGACTTCTGTTCCAGTCAGTGTAACTCGGTAGGTCACTGAGATGTGTAAGTGTTGGTTTGCAGGGATTTGATTGGTTACAGGTTTGTTCACAAGCCAACATCAGTTAGAGGAACACTGACAAACCAGCGCAGGGAGAGAGAGCTGTTTCGTACCACCTCGGGCCTCTTCAACTGTACTCCCCCAGTGGGGTTCAAATCCAGGACCTTCCAGTTACAAGAGGAGCTTGTAGACCAACCACTGGAACTTATTGGCCATTGGATTGG